CAAACCGAAATAAAGCTCTGCGGAGAATAACTTTTTAAGGCGCTTTTGTTAATAAAAAGTCGCATCTCATCTTGAGCGTCTAAAAACGTATCATCTTAAGCAACATCATTAGGTATCATAATTAAAATAGTATGGCAACAACTTATGTATTATCTTATACAACCCATGGAATCAGCAGTAGATAAGCATAAAATATTGAGGATGTAATAAATTTTTGATGATCTTGTTTCGTTCTGACGTAATTACAAAATATTGAATAATAAAAAATTATAACGGGGATGGTAAATTTTTTTTAACAGTAAAACAATCAAAGAATATTAGCTATAGAAGCAAAAAATTAAAATAAATAACACCGTCGAATTTGTATGAATATCCTTAACAAAAAAGTTCGCGAAAAAATCATTAGTCTACCCGTAAAAGAGGTTATACCATCTTAGGAACCTGTTCATCTTACGCAACCTTCCCCTATAATAATAATAAATAATAAAAATTTAATAATAAAATTTAATAAAAAAAAACTAAAATAAAAAACTTTAGTAATAAAAGAATAATAATAATAAAAAAATAAAAATATATAAAATATTTAAAAATACATATTTTGAAATATAAAAATTAGCATATATATATAAAAAAAAGAAGATATTTAGATTATATTAAGTCAGTTAAATTTAGTAAAAACTTGTTGCACGTAGCTGACCAAAGAACTCTACATATAAAGACTTCTTCACTTCTTCACTCTTCTTTTTTTTATTTCATCACTTTATATTTTACATACAATTAACTTTAATTCATGTATACATTTATAATTAAGATAAAAATTAAAATAATGACAGGAGCAAGTAGAAGACTGCAGTCTTATCATTCTTTCATTTGCGACTTTGCAATAAGTTTCACGTGAGCTTAACGTGACATTAAAAATTCATAAGTAGAAATAAAGCAAATACTTAGTCTTGTACGTAAAAACCAAAGCCTTGTACGTAACGATCTGATAAATGGGTACAGAAAAGAAAAACTGTTTTTATTATTCTTCTAGACAAACACGCACCGCTGAAAAAGTTAAGTAATCGTGGCTTAACTTGGAGTCATAAACCATTTTTTTTTTATCTCAATAAAAAAAAAAGTCTGAAAAAGTTAAGTAATCGTGGCTTAACTTGGAGTCATAAACCATTTTTTTTTTATCTCAATAAAAAAAAAAGTCTGAAAAAGTTAAGTAATCGTGGCTTAACTTGGAGTCATAAACCATTTTTTTTTTATCTCAATAAAAAAAAAAGTCTGAAAAAGTTAAGTAATCGTGGCTTAACTTGGAGTCATAAACCATTTTTTTTTTATCTCAATAAAAAAAAAATGTCTTATATTTTAAGACATTTCTTAAATACTTTATTTGGTTTTTTAAGTTAAATATAACAAACTAAATCTTGACAAAACTTACAAAATCTATTGAAAAATATGTGTAACACTTATTCAAAGAAACAATACTTAACTATTAATAGCAATAGTTTGAGAGCTACGCGTCATTAAGAGCAAACGGAGCACCAGCAATAAGAGGTCATAATTTTAAAATCAAAAAAGAAAATGACAAGCATTCTTCATTTTGTCAAGCCTTGTCCGTAACCCTATGGCGATTAAATGGAATGTATTACCAATTCACGTGAATTGGTAATGCATTCCATTGAATGCGCGGTCTTTAAACTCTTTTAAAGCAAGACTTGATAGATTTTTTTTATTATAAACTTTGCAAAATTTATTTAACTTCAATTTTTTTATATACAATTTTGATTTTTAACTAAATTGTAAATTATTATAAATAAAATAAAGAGTTGTGTAGGCTGTCATGACGCATATATAACCATATATGTGTTTCGCGGTTCAACTCGCGGTTCAAAGAAACTTTGAACCTATCTTTAAGAGAAAGAATTAGTCACATTATTTCAATATTGTCAGTAGGTTTAATAAAAAACAAGTCAAGGTTTGATGTTTTTAAATACTTATGAAAGTCAGTGAATGAGAAAATATATATTGTTGTAGTTCTTATGGGATTGAAATAAAGAACGAGTTGAAATTTTCCGATATTTTATTTGGATAACTTATAATGGCGTTATTTGAAGATATACAACATTAGATATCATCCGAACGTATATTCGAAAGAGTTTTAATACCCTTCCACGTAGCCCTAAAACTATTGCTATTAGTAGTAAAGTAATTGAAAAAGTGGTTCGTTTTGCTTCTAGGAATATGTTACATATTAATTTCTATAGGTTTTGAAAATTTTTTCAAGATTTAGTTTGTTATGTAGCATTTTTGTTTTAATATATATTTATATTTTTGTATATCTTATTTGGTTTTTTTATTTGGTTTAAAATGCTGAAGTAATCCATGGTTTAAGGGTGCGAGTTAAGCCACGATTAATTAGTTTTTTTTAGCGGTGCGTGTTTGACTAGAAAAGTGCGTGTTAGACTAGAAGAAGTGCGTGTTACATTTTTTTACCCTTTATATCCTTGACAAAAGTAGAGCTCCTCCAAACGATGTTTTTGATGGAGTATGTTCATAAAAAAATTCATCAAAATGTTAGACTAATGAAGCAACGTTTAAATAAAATAGAGAACAAATAATATTGATGTTTGAAGAGTTGAGATTTTCTGCCTAATTGATTGGATTTTTAATTATGTTCATATCATCATCGTCGTTGTTATTAAACTGATTAGTAAAGTTATCAAGCTGATTGAAAGTATAAGATTCTCGTGAGCGAGGAAAAAGTGAAAAATCATTAGGGAGTTTGTTGAGATGTATTATATTGTCAATTGAAGTTTGAAGACAGTTCACGATGCCCAGGGTAGTTGAGAGCCGTCACACCCCCTGGGACAGCAACCCTGATTAGCGCCTTTATTTATCAAAATTTTCCAATATTATAGATACCTTCTTTTCATTTGGCGCCCCTCTGTATATCTGCCGCCCAGGACAAACTGTCCCTTTCGCCTTGATCATGCCATGTAAAACTAAATTATAGGATATCAAAGATTTTGGATGAAAGTTCAACATCATTTTGTACATTTGAAACATGATTTTTAGGCAAGCAGTCTGTCTACCATATATGTTTTATTCTTTTTTTAGGTATAAACAAAAAAAATTAAAACTCAAATTTTTTAAAGAAAATACAAAAAAAAAATAAACTTTGTTATATAAATAAATAAACTTAAAGTTATTTATGCTTAGCAATAAACTATCCATCGGGGTAAATCTACATTCAATCGATATAACAAAATATCGATTGAATGTAGATTCGCTCTAATTGCATTGACTGTTTTTCAATGCAATTAGAGCGAATCTAAGATATCAAAAAATAGAAGAACTCCATGTTTACATGTTTAGTAATTTGATATGAAATCGTCTTCCCTCAGAAAGGTATCCTCCTTCCACAAAGTGTTGGAAAAAAAATCATATTACATAACATATAAAGTTAAAAATAAATATATTTTTTAATTCTAAATATAATTATTAAAATACAATAATAAAAAAATATATAAAAAATCAAACACTTTTAATATAATATATTATATTAATCTTTCCATGCATTTTAAGTTAGTTAAAAAAGAAGATGTGATGATCTGAATCTATTTATTATTGAAGCAACTTCACGATATGCGTCAAATTTCTAATCGATTGAGAAATTCATCCAAAGAATGTCATTACAAAATTCAATGACTAGCCGACAATTTTCTTTACAATCACGCCCTAAATACAAACAGTTAAGAATCACATTTAAATACTTCAAAAAGGTATTTTATTGAATAAGTTTATAAAATGATAAAAACTGTTTTAAATAACTTGAAATTTTTTACCAGGACGTTATAATTAAACGTACCGGCATCGAGTAGAAAAACAAGCCCAAGACCGCAAATATAAGTAGCATAGCCACAGCTTTAGCAAAAGTAAACTTATGTTGCTCCCACAGTGCATACCGTAAAGCTTTTATCGGCATCATTAACCATTCCATCATTAAGTCCGGACGGCTAAAAAAAAATGTTCTGATTGTCAAAATTTCCACTTTTAATTTCAAAAATTTGAAAAAATTTTGCTGTAAAGCTGCAATAGTGTTTAATATGAATTTACTTATGAAATCATATTAACTTCCTTTTTAACTTTACATGAAAAACAAGATTGCCAATCTTTTGTGTATAGATATTAAAAAAATATAGAGAAAAAAGTTGTATACTTATACGAAGATTATTGGCTTCCAAATAGTTTTATGAAAATATTATACGGAAACATTAAAATTTTAAAACTTACTTTGGACGGGGTAACGGATTTGGTTCTTTTCTGCCCAAGCCAGCTGGATCTTCCTCAGCCTCTTGTTCTGTCATTAATATCAACTCCATTTCAAGTTTCCCAACCAGTTCAGGATCAGCCTCTGCAGTATCGAGAATAAAAGGCCACCACCCTTAAAAATACATAAACAACCAGAATATATATATATATTTATAAATATTTATTTACTTCATTATCAATAAGGCAAATATTGCCTCGTTATTAAAATCTTATAATAAGTCAAAAAGAATTTAATATTTTGGCTACGGAGTTGGTACAATTTGAATATCCGAGTTTACGTAGTTGACATAATATCACATAAATAAAAAACAGATTGCTTTTAGTGATATTCATTGTTATAATTTTTAAAAATGATATAAAAAATGCATTCTAATGCGAAGAATTGCTAGAGGAAAGATCATATTAAATCATCATGGATTTGGCAAAGAACTTAATTTATTTTGGCAGCGGAAAAGATGAAAAAACTTAAATTTTATTTTCGCATGATTTGACTGTTATTTTTTTGAAAATCGTACAAAATATAGAGAAAAAAAATAAAACAATTTTCACTATAAATTTAAATGACAAAAAAATAAATTATTTACACCTATAAATGTATAGGTAATATATCGCATAAATTATTTATGTAATTTATAGCATAAAATACAAGCTTTTGTAAAACTTAAAAAAATATGTATTTAATCACAACGTTTTAATTTACTTTAAGTATTAATCAGTTAAAAATTAAGTATACATAATCGATACAAAACAATCTTTCAAAGGGTAGTAGAAACTTTGAAGAGGTAATTTCTCCTTTATGCTTTAGAAATTTTCTAAAGATGTCTGCGTGCTAATAATCAAACTGAATTATGGGAATCACAAGTAACAATCCTAATTGTATAGATTCGATGCAGTTCATTTTAAAATAGCGCTACCACTACTGCAAAACAATCCATATATTTTAGTTGTATTAGGCACTAGCATAATTTTAAGCAACATCTGCAATGACTTTGTGTTATGCGCTACCGATTTCCACTCATACAACATATGATATGACTCCATGCAAAGTAACATTACCAAATATGTTGCCAACAATATATATTGTATCTGTATTAGCTCCCACTACCAAATAACATTCAGCTAACATATTTAGCACTTCGTACTAAGCACCACCGAATAACTTGCCGACAACAGCATCCTAAGAAATATTTTTTAAAAAGCTAAGCGTAGTTTTAATTAAATGAATTTCATTTGTAAAAAAAAAAAAATCGAAAAAAAAAAACAACAACAAGAAAAAAAATGTTAGCATTTAAAAAATATATAATTTTTCATTTAATGTTTGGAGCTAACATGATTGGGACCTTAACAGTGTTGATTAAAGAAATATTTAAAATTTGCAATAGACATTTACAACTTACAGGCATCGTGTACATAAAAAGGCCCATAATAGCTAAAATGACACCAATGATGACAAATTTTCCAAAGCAAAACTTATATTGTTCCCATAAAAAATACCTCAATGCTTTTAGAGGATTTGCCATCCACTGCATCGCTACATCGGGTCGGCTAAACAAAAAAATACGTTTACAAAAACATATCGTATGCAAAAATATAAACTAAAGAAGAAAAAGAAATTAAAACTTTTGGATTTCGCTTTTATTGGTTTTGATTTTTAAGATGAATTCGGCCAATTTTTAACAAAAATGAATTAGGTATTATTCATGTTCTTGCAGAACTCTACTAGTTGAGATTATCTCAAAAGATTTAAGGTAGCCTACAACGAAAAAAGATTTTTTGTCAAACCAAATTATTTTTTTTCAGAATATTCATCAAATATTTCTAATAAAGAATTTTAGTTACTAGTAATCATAAAAAATTTTGATTACATTAAATTTTAGCTGAAAAAGACCTAAAACTGTACACTAAGATCAAAGAAGAAAACTTGAAGATAAAAAAATTTTTTTTTTCAAAACTTTGCACAGATAATTTTGCTTATTTTATGTAGTTTCTGAACTAAAAAAGAAGTTCATTGCACAAGTAGAAAGGTCAATTTTTGAAATGTTTTTTTTTTTTGGAAGGGGGGGGGGGATTTACATAAAAAATTAATGAACAATGAGTAATAACACTGTGAATATGTCAGTGTGTTAATTTTAGTTCAGTCTCCAGATCTAAGTAATTACTGTAAATGCTGAAAATTTGCACCATATCTTACACTAATCTGGAAATATCTTGTTCCACCTATAGATAAATTGTAAAAAACGACAAAATGAGAAAACAACATTTAAAAAAAAAAGAAAGATTAAAAACAGTTTATAAACATCCAGAAGCAAACAATTTTTTAGCTTGAAGTTTTTGTTCTATATCAAACCAGCCATTAGATTAGCCACTTTATTCAATTCTTTTTTTATTAAAAGTTTTTTGTTTTCTCTCTATATTACTAATACGATGACTGTCCTTTTTTCAAGAATCGGTTACAGTCTTATCAATGTGTGGTATATTTAGACATTTAAAAATATATTTAAGACCAAATGTTCCTTCATTAAAACTCAATTCTTTAAATCTATCATTCACTAATATCCGTGGTCTTCGTAAAAACTTTTCTTCGGTTGAGTCTAATATTTTGCAAAGTTCACCAGGCCTACTTGCTCTTTGTTAGATTAATTTGAGTTCAGCTATTTCATTTTGTGATCATAGAATTTGTACTCGTTTCGATGTTAAATCAATCAAATTGACCAAGCCCTTACTCTAAAAGGTCTAACGCAAAAGCCTGATATTCACATCATGTCAAAAAATCTCAAATTTCATTTCAAAAATTTGGTCCCAGAGACTTTCGGAGAATCTTTAACATTGTCAAAGACAAAGCTGATTTGTTTGGTAAGAACTTTTTATCAATCTCATCTATTGATTGAACTAAACACATCCTACCTGATATAGCGGACAAACAGGTTAATCCATTGCCTGAAATCAGTATCACTCCAGCTTCAGTATCTAAATTGATTTTTTGCTTAGTCTCCTTTACAGCTTGCGGTCCAGACAAAAAACATGTTATAGCCTTGCAGAAGTGTTCTCTGGAGCTGTCGCCTATACTTTCAAAAAAATTTAGCAAGTGCTTATCAGTCTTCTTTTCCAGTATGCGGGATCTGTTATCCCTATTTTCAAAAACTCTGGAGAGCAATCTGACTCATCTAACTACTGTCTCATCTACCGTCTAACTACCGTCTCATCTCTGACTCATCTAACTACCGTCTAATTAGTCTTCTTACTATTAAAAGCAAGGTTTTTGAACCTTTAGTTAACAAACACTTAATCTCACATCTTGAATCTAATAACTTCTGATCATCAATATGGATTTTAATCTTCTTGTTATACTGCTGATTTGTTAATGATAATAACTTATCATTAACAAATCAGCAGTAAATAAAATAATTTAAACTAATAAAAGTTTCATTATGCATTACATAGATGTGGAGAGGCTAAGGTATCGCTCTCAATATTTCTAAGGCCTTTAATAATGTTTATCATGCTGGTTTTCTCCATAAGTTCTTTTTTTATTACGTGTCAGGTAACATCTTTAAGATTATTGAGTCCTTACCAATCGTAGTATAAAATTTGTCTTTAATAGACAGCACTCTTTTTCATTCCTGTAATTTCAAAGGTTCCTCAAGGTTCTATCTTTGACCATATACTTTTTTAAATTTACATTAATGATCTCTCAGATATTCTCACATCAATGGTGGGATTGTTCGCTGATGATACTACCATTTATTCTTGTTTTGATAAGAATAAATGGTAGTATTATTTCTCTGATTGCTTGGAGAGGACACTGCCACGGGCTTTCAGTGGCTAGTGTACTTTTACTCAGATAAAAGTCAATTTTATTCATCATTAGAGCAATAATAAAGGTCTTGAAATATATGATACGCTAAGGTTGCATCTCTTTATCATGCTTAACACTTTCTTACTCCAGATTCTATTCTTTATCTCTATAAATCTCAAATCTGTTTAAAATGGAATACTGTTGCCATATCTGGAGGATCTTCTAATGATGCCTTTTCTTATTTAGATAAGAAGCAAAAACGCAATGTAAACATAGTTCAACCTGCTCTTGCAGTTAATCTCCAACCTTTGTCACATCATTGTTATGTTGCATCTCTTTCTCTTTTTTATAAATACTACAATTAGCACTGCTCTAAAGAGCTAGCAGCTCTTGTGCCATCTACTAAAATTCATTCTTGTGTTACTCGTCATTTATTTGTCTCATCCTTTTACTGTGATTGTTCCTTAGTGCTTTAAAAATTTTAAATTGTCTAGTTTTTTTTCCTAGAACATCAGTTCTTTGGAATTCACTGCATTCTTCTTGTTTTACTGATTCATATAATTTGCAATCTTTTAAGTCGTCTGTTAATTGTTATCTTGCTTTATAAACGTCATCTTTTCAGTCACTTTTAACTGTAATAGTGCTTGCTAGCAGCCTTGTTGAAAGTGAAGATGTTTATATATATATATATATATATATATATATATATATATATATATATATATATATATATATATATATATATATATATATATATATATACATATATATATATATATATATATATATATATATATATATATATATATACTATATATATATATATATATATATATATATATATATATATATATATATATATATATATATATATATATATATATATATATATATATATATTGCTTAATTCACTCTAAGTTATAAAGTAATTTTCTTCCTAAACATATTTTTGATACACCTAAACCATATTACATTACTGATCCTTTCAATGCAATTTTGAGTTTCTCCATGAACACACTTTTTTAATAATTGGTCATCACTTAAATCATTAAAATCACTTAATATAATACTAAGAACCTATATAGGTAGATTAACTTTTGGTTTAAAGTGCCATTTCCATGGTCACTTTCTGATTTTTTCTCCTTACACCAACTTTCAAGTCTTATAGGACATAAAAAATAGCATTGAGAGTGAAAAATACTGCACTGAGTTTCTTTTTCATTTGGTATATCTTTTGTGTATCATTCAATTTGTAATTATTAGCAGATGTTTTTTCTAGTTAACTTTAGTCCTCCATGTTTCTCTTTAAATAAATTACAGAGGACAAACTCCAATTCTTTTCTGAATGTGTCCTTTCCACTCTAACTTTTCTGGCTTGATGTTGTAATCTGCATAAGGATCATTTGCTACTACATAGATTAAGGAAGAGGAGTCCTTATCTCCTAGATAAAACTTATATGAAAGTCCATACAACGTGTTAAAGGATATTAAGTACACCATTCCTTTCCATTGCTCCTGGTAAATTGTGGGGTTTAAAAAACAATTGTGTTGTTTTTTATCTCTGTAATACCTGAATGATATGTCTGCATCAACACATCAACTGCAGTAACTACACCATTAAGAAAAGAATGTCGTTGTTTTTGCCAAGTAACATCAAAAGAAACTTGGAATGATGAAGCACAAGTGAATTTCTCAACAGCATTTGCTTTAATATCAATTTAATACAGAAAACTTCATACAATTTTTATCAGCAGAATTATAAGCAGCTTGAACCAATTTATGATTGGATGAAAAAAAATTTACATATATGCAACTCGTATTTGCAATACAAGTGAAATAACCCATTGTTTCATGCCCATAACTAATCTCACAAAAAGCAACAATCATTCTTAAGTTGATATCAAATGCATTTCTGTCTTTATTTTGTGTGATTTTGTCCACAGTTTTACTTGTAAAAGTGCACCATTCATATGAACAAGATGTACATTTTTAAACTGTGAAAAATCCCATTCTCTTTGAATTATCATTTTGTATGGTTACTCCATTTTAACAATCTGGAAAGCTATCACCTTGCATCAAAATTTCTTTGGAAAGAGGGAAATACACATAACCAAATTAAAATATTCTAAACATTGTTTTTCATTCAATTGAAAGTTGCTGAGCTCCTAGCACTACAAGATTTTTTTAGTAAAGTTGTTTTTACTATTTCGGTATTCCTTGCTTGTTGAAACTTGTTACCAGAAATAGTCCTTTTAACTTTTTTTAAACGATTTTTTTTATTTCTCATTACCTTTTATATTAGCCAAAATTAAAAAAGTAAAGAATAAAAATCCATAAACAACTTCAAGTTAAATAAACATATAAAGTTTTATCACTTGTTCATCTCATATAACACTGAAAGTAAATGTAATTTGCTTTATTTTAAACTATGGTACAGAACAGACTTGACAATCATACCTTCAAGTTTTTGAAAAGTATGTTAAGTATACAAAAATTGGTCCAAAATAAGAAAGAAAAGCGTGTTGCTAGGAGCTGTTGCAATGCTACATATGTTTAACTACCTTTCTTAAATCATAAATTAAACCTTTTTTATCTATTTTGCTAAAAATTAGATTTTTGAAATTGATTCTGTGGTAATTAATTGTCCTCAAACAATCGAAAATAAAAATTTAAAAAATTTCAAAAATTTAGACTTTATTCTGTGGTAAACCACCTTAAATCTTTTAGCTATAAACCAAGAATTAATTCGTTTTTTATACAAAAGTTGTCATGACTAATTTGATATTATCAAAACATACTTTGGAAAAGGTAGAGGTTGTGGTTCCTTACGACCTAATCCAGCAGGTTCCGCAGCAGCTTCAACCTCAGTGAGTAATTCCAACTGAACTTCAACTTTACCTACAAGTTCAGGATCAGATTCTTCAGTATCAATTATAAACGGCCACCAACCTGTGTAAGATAAAAAAAACTAAATGCATTAATGTTCACAACATAAATAATTAAAAAAAAAAAGCATTTGGGTCTGAGCACTACTGCATTTTATCCTTAAAGATTTTTACTATTATTCTATATTTTATTTTGCAATTCAAACAACTCAATTCTCCTCTTACTCACTTCAAACCTCAGTGTAACCTCCTCAGTACCTCCTAGTAACCTCCTCAGTACCTCCAATTTTCAGTTACACATTTTTGAGATATTTAAACATTAAATATGTTTTATAAAAAGGTAGATTTCTATCATGCTGAACAGCACAGATAAAATTTGCTCTGTCGATGGGTGACAGAATTGCTGTCAGTGACTAAAACTTACTTTCAAAATGATGTATTTTATCAGTTTAAAAAAATTTGCTTTGTGAAATATAACTCTTTAAGACATATATTTGACTCAACAAACACTCTGCAATATTGCAAAATATGAGCTCAATATTTTATAAGATAAAAATATTGCAATATTGCAAAATATGAGCTCAAACATTTTATAAGATAAAAATACAGTAGTGCTACTGCCTTACTTAAAAAAACTGTATTGTAAGTAAACATACCAAAATATTCATGCCTTGTCAAAACCATGTTTGTAGGTACATTTGCATCACTTTATTAACAGCAAGTACATGTAGTCACACAAAGTCAACACATTCAAGCAAAACAAGTGAAAAGCAATAGAGCAAAAACTTTAAAATGCAGTAGTACTCAAACATGAATTGTTCAAAGTAGTACTCAAACATGAATTGTTCAAAGTAGTACTCAAACATAAATTGTTCAAAGTAGACTGGAACACAAGTTGCTTAATGCTGTTTAGAGTAGTACTCAAACATCTGTTGAATTTACTTTAGTTTTAATTCAGTAAATTTACAAAAATCAAGTAAATGAAATAAAAATGGCATAAAGAACGCAATTACTAATTGGCATATTTTATCTTTGGTTTTGTAATTTCCGGATTTAGTGCAACTTATTTTTTAGAATAAAAACGCTTGAAAAACACTTTAAACTATAGTTTGCAGAATATAACTATTTTCTTTTCCTTTGTCAATTTAATTATTAAAACTTACTCCACTTGCAATCAAAATGGAAAAAAAGTTATTTGTTTGCAAGCAAAACAAAACTATTTTAACAAATTCAGTTTTGTGGTTTTGGTTTAAATATCCCAAACAAATGTATATCAATTTAGTAATAAACATGGGCTTTAAAGCAAAGAATATAGACAAACCAATATGTAAACTGCATAAACTTTAGTTAATAAATTTAAATAAAAAAGGTAAAAAAAAAAAAAATACAAATAGTAGACGCTTTTCATAAAATTATTTTAGGAGGTTTAGTTTTTATGTTTTACATAAAATTGTTCTAAATAATTTTACCTAAAGCAAGTTTTGAGCTCATTCCCCCATACCTACAGATACATTTTATGGAAGACCAAAACTCCAAGACCCTGTAACTAATTAATAGTAATATTACTTTTTAACTAATAGTAATACACTTAGACAACTTTATCTTTATTCAACAATAAAGATAAAGTTGTCTAAGTTACAATATTTGTCAAGTTTAGAATTTAAAAGAGTTCACAGAAATGGCATTAACTTTAGCATTAATTAGCATTAACAACATCAGTAGATAGTCACTTCTATTAATAGAATATTTTCTTTGTTAAAAAAGGCAAAAATTAGTTATTTATCAACTACATTTCTTACGTATTTCTTATTTCTATTATTATTATTATTACATTAACTACTTTCGTACTCCAGATTTTATTCTTTATCTCTAAAATTTCAAATCCTTCCTTGTTTGGAATACTATTGCCATATCTGGAGCAGATCTTCAGATGATGCCCTTTCTTATTTAGATAAGGCACAAAAAGACATTATAAGCATAGTTGGTCCTGCTCTTGCAGCCAACCTCCGACCATTATCTCATTGTTTTAATGTTACTTCTCTTTCTCTTTCCTATAAATACTATAATGGGCACTGCTCTGAAGAGCTAGAGTCTCTTGTGCTATCTACTAAAATTCATTCTTGTGTTACTATCATTCAATTAAGTCTCATCTATTTACTGTTACTTTTCTTAAGTCCTCCAAAAACTCTAATTTGTCTAATTTTTCCCCTCAAATATCAGTTCTTTGGAATTCACTCCCTTTATCTTGTTTTCCTGATTTATGCTGCTTGCAGCCTTGTTGGAAGTGAAGATGTTTAGAAAAAAAAAAAGTGAGTAAAATCAGACAAATTAGTTTACTTCCTTTTTTAAATTAAGGACTAATATTAGCTGATTTCTACTGAATTTGTAATTCAGTAAGCTCAACTGAAGCCGTATGCAAAAATTTTTAGGAATAAAGATTTAACAAGATATGCTCCACACAACGTCTCGGTATTTAAATGTTTTAATCTGTTAAGAATACCATTTTTGGAGATTATATCAAAATCCAATTTTTTATTGCTTCTAGTCTCAAATGCTGGTAAACTAACACCATTTTCTAGAACAAGTACATCTTACTTAAAAACTTTGGCATATAAATTTACTGAATGGTCACACACGAGCAGTGAATGCCTGAGAGAAAAATAAAGTACATTAGAATAAAGGATAAATAAATTTTTTGAACAAAGCATATTTTGAAAGTTGTCAAAGACAAAAATAAAGATTAATAGAAGAATATTTAAAAATATACTAATATATATATACGGTAAATAATATAATAGGATGACAAAAATAAGACAGATAATGCACCCAACCAATACTTACGATAACAAAAAAAAAATTTTTTTAATAAATACTTATTTTTTGTGATATATTTATTGTATATAATGATATACAATAAATATATCACAAAAACTTATAAAAAAAACCAACATGATGATAAAATAAAAAGTATGGATACAACAATGTAAGGTCTAAGAATAGAAAAAAAACACATTAATGCTAATGTGTAAACATATATTGCGTAGTAGTTAAGAAACAAACATCTCCTCAAAGTCGCGTTTCGAACTAGCATTTCGACAAGGATCAGAGCTAAAAACTAGTTTATCCCATCAGATAAATGTCATCGCCACTTATGCTTTACCCTGTAACTCATAGTTACAATAATAACTATAAATATTGAATATTAACCGGTATTAAATATTAACCATTATTGAATGTAGAGGTATTGGGGGCATAACTGCCCCCAGAGTGTTTGCATTAATGTTAAATGAAAATAAAAACAAAATGTGTTTTTTTAACAGATTATTTCAATAACCACATCATTAAGCTTTAAATTGATGCAATTAAGAGAAAAAAAAAAAGGTTTTTGAAAGTGTTTAACACAAAAATTACACTTAGTGAAAAAAACGGTTTTGCCCTCATTGTGAGGCACAACTGCACCCTCAAAAAAATTGTTGGGGGTACACTTTTCTTGGTACATTTTCTTTACAAATGTCACAGCTCAGATTATTTGCTGATTTTGTTAGACGTTTGCATACTGTATGAGCATTATTTGTACTTACAGTCTGAGTTTTCTCATCCGATATACTCTTAGCTTTCTATTTTATTCAAAAACTTATTTATATATAAAAATGATATATAATATATTATATATAAGAATTAAATTAAAAAAATACAAAATCTAATTTCCAACATCTCAAAACAAAACTATTTCCATTCAAGTTTTTACACAAACGCATTCAAGTGTTAGGATTGTAATTATTGTTATTCGTAACTACCTAACTTTGATAAATATTAAAAGTATGTGGTTGTGACTCCTGTGCGTCTATGGGGTTCTGCCACAGAGGACAGTTTTTAGAAAGAATACAGTTTCATAGCTTGCTTATTAGGTTATGTTGATACCAAAAATAGTTTTCTTTTGATGAAATAATGCTGATAACACATATCTTAAACACTAAAATCAAATGTTGCTTAATCTTCAAAAAAAAGTTCTGGAATAATATGATGTAATTATAATACTTTTATCAAAATAAACATTATTATGCACAACTTCTCAGAAACGTAACACGCACTCTTTTTGACATAAGCGAAATAAAGAAAACTGTTTTACTAATGCGTGGTATGTTTTTTGCCATACTAGATAACATTTCTCAAAGGGAAATGTTGAAAAATGGTTGTGCCTCCATATGCGGTTATGCTCCCACATCCCCTATAAGCAATAAAACCATACACAATTTTCTTGCTACTAGACTCAAATGCTGGTAAATTAACATCATTTTCTTGGACAAATACATCTTGGAACTTGTTATTAATTAGATTTACTATCTGATTTTGGTAAGAATTCCATTTGTAAGAACTCCATTTTTATCATTTAATTCTCTCATTGAATTAAAAATCTGTTGTTGGCTATTTATGTACTTGTAGATTAACTTCGAGTTTTCTTTTGCAGACATCACTAGGTTTTTTTCATAATTTTGTCTGATTTTTCTTGATTCTGTTTCAATCTTGCAAATACTTTTGTATTCTTTCACCAGAGATGTAACAATATTATTAATTTTTAAAGTTCTTTTTTTTTCCAAAATATCTCTCTTTTTTATTTATTTCTAATTTTTTAACTGAACTATGTAGTTTGTACATATATATATACACCACATTCATGTAAAAAATAAATATAATATACATTTCCTGAAATAATTTGCCATTAAAACACACTTACCGATTCATATTAGAAAACAACCTATTAATTGAATTGAAATCTGCTTTCTTATAATCGTGTATAAAAACTCCCTCATTAAATTTTTCTGATTTAACAAATTTTTTTTCTTTTTAATTATTTCATTTGGTCTGTATAGACAACCTTATAAGTTACAAACAACCAGTGCGACCATTGATTTGTTTAATTTTGTTGGAAGACAAAATTTTACCTTGAACCTGATAAAACTGCAAAATTATTACCTATGTATCAATGATTACACTATCTATGTATATTGCAACACCACCACTAATTCTACCATCATTAAAATCTTTTTTATGCAAAAAGTAAATTTGTAGTGGCAGTCTTCTAGAACCAAGTTTCTGTTATTCCCATAATACATGGATTTACATCACTGCAATAATACCTTAAATTCCTCCATTTTATTATTAAACAAAGTTTAATATAAAATGTAATTAGTTTAATATAAACTCGTAATGTAGTCAATTGGCTTGTAGTTTTTTAAATTTTACAATTTTGTTTCCACAGCTATCTGTGCAATATTGAAATATAGCATCAGCAGCAGGTCAAGAGTTTAGCTTATTTCTTTCTTGTCTTAATAAAAAATCTAACATTCTTTTCACTTCAGTAAAATCAAGTGAAATTTTTTTAAGGCTACTTACATTTCTTTATTTTTTAAATTGATACAAAAAACGGTTTCTCATACTAGCATTTTCTAACTTGAAAATTTCAGAATACAAAATATATGATCTAATGAAAATAAAAAGTTTTTTAGTAGTTTGAATCTCACACAGCAAAACACTTTTTAACACTTTGATAGCAGAAGAAAAGTATTAATTATAATAAACAGTAGTGAAATATGAAGTTAGTATTGAAATAACCAATGAAAACAATAAAAACAACAAAACTATTTTATTAACAACATTGAAGCAAAAAATAAATTTAAATTTATAAAATGGTGTAAAGGATGGATTAGTACAATAAATTACTACAACATTAAACTAAAAAATTTAGAATACTTTTGCAATTTATTTATTTATTTGCAATGTAAAACTACAAATAAATTACAATGGCATTAAATTAAAAAAATTCAAAATACTTTTGCAATTTATTTCTTTATTTAGAAAGTAAAATTACAAATAAACTAATATGGCATTAAACTCAAAAAATTTAAAATACTTTTGCAATTTATTTTTTTATTTGCAAAGTAATAATATAACAATTATGTATATGTTATAAAATATGGCAATATTATGGCTATTGCCAATATATGGCAATTAGTTGAAACCATAAACAAAAAAAACAACAAATACAAAACTTTTTTTTTTGAGAAACTAATATAATTTATTTTAATTGATATTACAAAAATAGTTTTATGCAGGAACATATATAAGCTTTCACTTAGGCAAATAGTATATAGTAAATAAACAGCAATAAAAAAAACTTAAAAAAAAAATATATAAATATCTTTATATTATTATTATATAATATTAAATGTGTTTTTATATAAATACTATATATAACATTATGCATAAATTTAGTCATTAGAAATACTGTTGGATAAGTAAAACAAGGTTACCAGAAAACCAAAAAATTTAAAGTAAAATAATTTCTATTAATTTTAATTTTATTTTTAACAATTTTAAAAACAATTTCTGTTTATAGCTATCAAAAGAAGACACCAAAAACTGCAAACAATCTGAATCAAGAAATAACAAGTTAAAAAAAAAATTGAAAAAAAACCCAGATTTTTGCAGGCAAAAAAAAGGAATTCGGAAAATGAATTGTTAAATTGCATCAAACTCAAAAAGTTTCAATGAGGGATAAAAAAGAGGTAATAAACAAGTTGTTGTAAACTAAACACTTCAGAAGTATCTAAAAAAAAATAATTCAAAACGCTTCAGAAGTATCTAAACAAAAAAATAATTCAAAACACTTTAGAAGTATCTAAACAAAAAATAATTCAAAACACTTCAGAAGTATCTAAACAAAAATAATTCAAAACGTTTCAGATGTATCTAAACAAAAAAATAATTCTAATAAAGTCTACTTTACTAGAATTATTTTTAAAGTCTTATTCTAATAAAGTCTAATTCTAATAAAGTCAAAGATTTGTACCAAAATGCCAACATTATAATGGATTCTATGGAATAAAAATTCTTAGCAATAAGTTATATTTTCTATATACAATTAATAAGATTTAATTCACGGTGTCCTTTATTAAGGACACTAAATAAATAATAAAGACAAAAATCTTTAAAAATACTCAAAGACTCTTCTAAAGTTTTAAGAGGCTATTGATGAAAAATTATTTTAGTTTTGAAATTTAGACTTATAGATGAAATTTAAACTTTTAGGGTTTCAGTGTAACAAAAGTAAAAATTGTGGAAAAGAAAGAATTGTTCATTCCTTATCCTTTTATTCTTTGTTCTCTTGGTTTGTTTTAAATAAAGAAAATAAAGAATAAATAAAATAGGAATCAAGGAATGGTTCTAAACAAATATTTGAACCATCTTTCATCACAAAGAAAATTACAAAAACTTGACCAAAAATAGACAAAATACTCAATTCCCTAAGTGCACTGTTAAAACTTTCCTAAAAATAGTTAAATAACTAAAGGCAGTCCAAAAGTTGCTTACTCCTTCACATTGGGAAAACAAAACAAAAATTAAAAAAAACGTTTAAACAAAAATAAAAGTAGAATAAATAACTATAACATTTTTAATAAATTATAACCCTAAAATATTTTTAAGTAATGTTACTCTTCATATTGATTACTATTGGTAACAAGGTTAAACTTTTTTATTATATAAATTAAATAAACTTTGAAACACAATAAATGTTTGTTTATCATTGCATATTGCTATTTATCATATTTTACTTTAATTTTAATGAACAAAAGTTTTGTCTAAATTGGTTACTTTGTCACAAAAAATAAATAGAGTTTCAGTTCACAACTAAGTGACACAATTTTGTTAGTTAATCCTTATTTAATTCTTACTTAATCCCTTCTATTAATATATATCTATTAATATAATTATTTCTAATTTTATAAGGGGTTAATTTCTTATGTTAAGCTAGATCATATATAGATATTTTAAAAGTTTGATGCTACATCATATATAGATATTTTAAAACCTACAAAAAGCTACATCATAAATAGATATTTTAAAACCAATTGAAACTTACTTTATTACAACATTGTAATTCTGATAAAAATAATGTTAGTGTAACCAACAATATTATAGCATTGTAATTATGATGAAAAATAACAAAAGTGTAACCAACGTTATTACAACATTAGATTTAATTGGTCAATGTTGCCAAACATAACCCAACATAAATCTAATGTTGGATTGACATTGTGTTTTCTATAATTTTATAATGCACCTAAAATGTAAATAAAATGTTTACATGTTTGAAAAGTGGAAAAATTGAGATGTCACGTAATGTGAAAAAATGTTATAAGTATTAACTAAAAAAATTGTCACTTAGTTGCAAATTGAAATTTTATTTATTTTTCAACACCAAGTAAGCAGCTGAGAGGAAACTTTTGTGCACTAAAAATAAAAATTATTAAAATGATTATATAAACATAAAAAAAATATTTACCTAGCTTTCATACTAAAATTATATTTCATCTTAAGTGTTTGTTTGTTGAAACAATGTTAGCAAAATAAGTAAAATAAGTAAGTGAGTTTAGGAAGAACGAAGTAAGATAGAGTAAAAGTCAGAAGAAGTCGAGTTAGAAAGATAGCATAGAGAAAGTGGACAGACAATTACACTGGATTTTAGAATGTGCAATTCATACTATTAATTATATTACCTAATAAATGTATTATTATAAATTCAGTCATCATTGCTGATGTTTGTTTATAAACTTTCGAAAATATGAGACTTTGGTGTGGGATAACCTTAATCAAATATGTATGCTAACTTTTATAATCATTTTGTGCTAGATTAAAGTTGTAGTATTGGAGGAGTCTGGTATTACTAGAATTACTCTTTATATATAAGAAATTCAGAAGGAGATATAATACTGCTGTGTACTATAAAAATGTTATACCTCGGTTGCATATAACTAATTATAATAACTGTGAGTAGCATTTGCAAGTGAATTGTTTTTTTTTCAATTGGTTAGTTTGTAACAGAAAAAAAAAAGATTTTACATTTTTTGAGTTTTTATAAATCCAGAAACAAAAATATGTATAAAAAGTCATTTTGATATGGAGACATTTCAATAGTTTAAGTATTGTATTTCATATTCATAATAGTGTTATTTCTGCTGATTTTTTAAATATATATGATTACTCTTACTTTCTTTTTAGTTTTTATTAATGTATTTAAAATCCTTATCTATTTTTACTTAAAAACAATTTTTTATAAATAATGAATATTATATTTGAATCAAATATATAATTGTTATATGTATTTATAAAATATTATGCATTTCCATACATTACATTATTACATTTTGCCTCAGTTACATAAAAACAACAGACATTAGTAACCAAACAGTAACGTATAATGTTACGCCCCAATGCATAACATTGTTATAGGGGATAGTTAATATACAAATATATATAAATATTAATTATTGAAAAACTACATATTATATTTTTAATTCTAATTAAAAAAATAACTATAGTAACTTTTAAAGTCAAAAGCAAACCAAGTTTTTATAATAGAAACTAACCTTTAATCAATTTCTTCTTAAAAATAGAATCTCTATTTTCATTGTTCATAATTTCCAAGTTGCATTGCACTGAGGTTTTAGATGGACGAGGTATGTTAGTAAGATTCAATGTAAGATCACCTTAGGATAAATAGATACATATATATACAACCCACACCCATACATATATATATATATATATATATATATATATATATATATATATATATATATATATATATATATATATATATATATATATATATATATATATATATATATATATATATATATATATATATTATATATATATATATATATATATATATATATATATATATATATATATATATATATATATATATATATATATATATATATATATATATATATATATATATATATTGTTTATTTATTATATAAAATAATACAAAACTCTGGTACGAAAAACAGTGCTCAATATTATGATAATAGAGCAATATATATATATATATATATTTTATTTAAATGAAAAAAAACAACATTATAATAGCACTTAAAGTTTCGTGCCTTTCGGCAATCATCATCTATTAATTACAAATTAAAAACGTAAATTAACATTTAAAAAACGAATCAAAATTTTACGGTAGAACGAGTTCTGACGTAATTTGAAAAGGCAAAATTATTTAATCTCCAGTATCAAACAAAGATAACAGGAATTTATTTAAATTTTGACATTTAGATAATATTTCGTCTTTTTTATTAAGCAGGTTGTTTCCATTAAAAGATAAAATTTTTAATTTCTCATGAAGACAAAGTTTGCAGGTTTTTGTTTCTGGTTTGTAAGCTTCACAGCGTTTTATAATTTTCCACTTTATGATAGGTGTTGTACCTTTTTCTTTTAAACTTTCTTTTGAAAGTTCAGTACCATTTTTATATTTGATCGCGTTAAAAGACTTTAAATGATTTGCGTATCTGAGCTTGAATGGTGTCTCACTGATACCAAAATATACTTTTTCCTTTATATATATATATATATATATATATATATATATATATATATATATATATATATATATATATATATATATATATATATATATATATATATATATATATATATATATATATATATATATATATATATATATATATATACATATATATATATATATATATATATATATATATATATATATATACATATATATATATATATATATATATATATATATCCTATATTTGACACATGTATATTCTTTATGGTAAAAAACAGCTAGTAACAACGCTTTGTGTTTAAAGTGACAAAACAAAGTATACATTAAGGTGAATCAACCAGTTCCAAGCCACTTAATTTTATACTGCATCGTATATTACTGCTAAAGGCTTATTTTTTAAAAATATCTTCAGATTTTGACAATATTTATAACAAAATTTATTGACAAAAAATATTGACATATTTTTTGTCAATAAATTTACTAATTAAAATTATATATATATATATATATATATATATATATATATATATATATATATATATATATATATATATATATATATATATATATATATATATATATATATATATATATCAGATGATGGAAAGTTCTTTATGACCAGTTTCTTCTGAACAACCTAAGGTTTCAGCAAAAAATGTATAAATCTATGTAAATAGTTATCTTATTCATGGCAAGAAAAGGTTATATATAAAAAATAGTTTATTAATAAACTATTTTTAAATGACAAAAACAAAAACAATTATAAAACCTAATAATTTTAAATCAAAGTAAAATTTTTTTTAGAATTATTTTTTATAGTTAAATTATATTATAGTTAAAACTATTGTTTATAGTTAAAACTATTGTTTATAGTTAAAACTATTGTTTATAGTAAAAACTTTTGTTTATAGTTAAATAACTTTTATGATTTCTATAAAACAAAAAAAATCAGAAAAACTTTCAAATTTTAATTTTTACGGTCCACCATACTTTATTTAAATTAACATTACTTTTAAACTCAGATAAAATAAAGTGCCATTGATCTTATGTAACAGATTGAAGTTCAAAATTTCGGACTATTGTAATTTTAGTTAAGGGCTCAGACTATTGTAATTGTAATTGTAAAAACTAAATACAATAATTTAATACTATACATTAGAATTGTATTATAATAACAGATAAGTAAAGATATTATTTAATGGTATTGTATTGTTGTGATAAAAAAACAATTACAATAACTATTTTATTGTTTTTGATCTAACAATAAATCCCAAAACTATTGTATTGTATTGCTATGAAAAAAGACAAATACAATAAATAATTATATTGTTTTAATAAAAAAAAACATTTACAATAACAATTGTAGTGTATTGAAGTTCAAAAGCTATTGTATTTTAATGTATTTAGATTTTTCCACACATTTACTATTATTTAATTTATATTATTCTAAATTATAACCTTACAGAATAAGGGACCTGGGTAATTATTAGAATCTACTTTTATTACTGCAACAATTTTTTTTAGATTTTTAGATTACTTATCACCTATTAGGCCAATATTGTTAAATTTTATAGGGAGTTCGTTTTTGAAAAATGACACAGTTGAGAATACCAAATAAATATTGTTCATGATTTTCATAATAAAATTCACACAACAACAAAAAACGATTGGTAAAAAAAAGGGAGTCGATCATACCAAACAACCCCATCTACGGCACAGGCAAGCCTACCTTGGTTTTAATTTCTAAACTCTAAATATCTGCATGTTTGACAAAACTAATTAAATTGCATTGTTTTTTATAAAACAAAAAAAACACAATTAAATTGACTAGAATGTTTTTTATTTTTTTAATTCAGAATGTTTTTATTTTTATTTTTTCACTATTTTTATTATCTAATTTTATTTGTTTTATTTAACTGTTTTTTTTTTAAAGCGACCAAGCAATGGTATATATATATATATATATATATATATATATACCATCAACTTGTTTCTCCGCGCAGTGGCCTTGTTTGTCAGGGTTCATGTTTCAGAGTTATAGAGTTGAGAGAGGGTTATAACCACTATTAAGTAGCCTTCTCATCTGTAGTGGCCTTCTTGGCCTTGAGGAGGTGAATAACAATATATATATATATATATATATATATATATATATATATATATATATATATATATATATATATATATATATATATATATATATATATATATATATATATATTAGGGTGCTTCTAAAAACAACTTTTTTTGAAAATGTCTGCTCGCATCCCTTGAATTTGTTTTATATAACAATATAATACTTGATTTAAAAAAATTTTCAATAAAAAATATTTTTAGGGGTTGCTACAGACCCTCAAACATTAAATCAGCCCCTAATATTATCAAAAAAAATTTTTTTCAAAAGTATATCATGTTGGGTCTCAAATGACGCGAAATTAAATAAAAATTTCAAAAATATGAATCATTTTATAATTAAGTTATTATTTTAGATTTTAGTGAACAGATAATGACGCTTTTTTTTTCAGAGCATGAATACATAAGAGTCAGGTTCAATGACTCTTTGTAATCTTCTCTAGAGAAAATTTTTTTATTAAGACCCTTCTTGCAAATTTTTTAGCGATTTCTAAAAAAGTGTTAGCAATAGATTGACTATCATATTTAACAAATTTTGAAGAACCAGTACTACTTTTAATATCATTCTAGTTTATTTTTGGAACCGTTTGAACATAAGATTTTCTGGAGATTTAGTTTCTACAGTTAAAAGTTTTTCACAAAAGTGTTTGAGATGTAACTCATAAATTTACATTGTTTACAAAGTCTGAGCGTCTGCTAAGGTTGCATCTATTTATTGAACTAGCATCTTTCTTATTTGAATTCTATTTTTATCTCTATAAATATCCGTCCTTATTTGGAATACTGTTACCATATCTAGAGTGGATCTTCGAATGATGCCTTTTCTCTTTTAAACAAGGTGCAAAAACATATTTCAAACATAGCTGAACCTGCACTTGCGCCAACTTCCAACCATTGTCACAACTTTACTAGATTGTTCATAAATGTCATTGACCACTGCAAATTTAACAACAAATTTGGAAAAAGTCTTAAACTCAACATACTTCCATAGTGGTGTCAGGCTGTTTAACTAAAGTTTATCATTCAGTTTAGTAAGGTTTAATAAACTAAATAAAGTGAAAGAAGAAAACTCTTGGTTCAAGATTTTTCTCCTACCTAAGCTAGAAAAACCACCAAGTGTTGCACAATTAGTGGAAGAAAACACTTGGTGGTTTTTCTAGCTTACAGTTATGAGCTTTTAATAAAATTTAATTTCTCTGAATGCCTAAACAATTCAAAAACTGGTTTTAAGAAAAGCATTTTTCTTCTCTTTTTGCAACAGAAATTTCGTGATCTAAATAAGCAAGTGGAACCAAGGATTTATCAGGGTGCCATAAATGTGATTCCGTTGAAACCATCATGTCATTAATTCCATTTAATATTGTTTCAGAATGCTGAATATATTGTTTTATGTATTCTCTATATTTTGTCATTTGCCAATAGGCTTTTAGTTCTTGGAATGGCACAGTGTTTGGTAAAGAAGTTTTTAAAAACCAGATCGAATAAAAGATTGAGATAAATTTGGACATTGTCTGCACTTTTTTGTTTGTTGATTATTTGTCAGTTCATAAGAATGCTGCAAACTCAATATCTGAATCTTTAGATAATAGATAGCCTTGGACATAAAATGTGCATGAGACACGCACCCTAGAGCTTGAATTTGAAAAACTCTTTTAGGGCATATATACCGTCCCATTAGTTTTCTTATTGTCATAAGCAAGGTTTTTGAGTCTTTAATTTTTTTTGTTTTGTTTGTTTGTTAATTCACCTCCTCAAGCCCGAGAAGACCAATACTGACAAGGAGGCTACTTATTTGTGGTTATAACCCTCTCTTAACTCTATAACTCTGAAACACGAACCTTGATAAACAAGGCCGCTGCGCGGAGAAATGAGTTGAGCGTGGTACTACCAGGGACATGGTGGGGATCAAACTCCAAACCTCTTGCTTATGAAGCGAGCGCTCTACCACTACACCACTACCGCATTTAACAAACACTTTATCTCACATCTTGAATTTAATTTACTCAATAATTGAATCTATTTGTTCTACGT